CTGTGACCAGGGGTCCCGCAGGGGTCAGTCCTAGGACCAGTGCTGTTTCTGGTATTTGTGAACGACATGACGGAAGGAATAGACTCTGAGGTGTCCCTGTTTGCAGATGACGTGAAGTTGATGAGAAGAATACACTCGATCGAAGACCAGGCAGAACTACAAAGGGATCTGGACAGGCTGCAGACCTGGTCCAGCAATTGGCTCCTGGAGTTCAATCCCACCAAGTGCAAAGTCATGAAGATTGGGGAAGGGCAAAGAAGGCCGCAGACGGAGTACAGTCTAGGGGGTCAGAGACTACAAACCTCACTCAAGGAAAAAGATCTTGGGGTGAGTATAACACCAGGCACATCTCCTGAAGCGCACATCAACCAAATAACTGCTGCAGCATATGGGCGCCTAGCAAACCTCAGAACAGCATTCCGACATCTTAATAAGGAATCGTTCAGGACCCTGTACACCGTATACGTTAGGCCCATATTGGAGTATGCGGCACCAGTTTGGAACCCACACCTAGCCAAGCACGTAAAGAAACTAGAAAAAGTGCAAAGGTTTGCAACAAGACTAGTCCCAGAGCTAAGAGGTATGTCCTACGAGGAGAGGTTAAGGGAAATCAACCTGACGACACTGGAGGACAGGAGAGATAGGGGGGACATGATAACGACATACAAAATACTGAGGGGAATTGACAAGGTGGACAAAGACAGGATGTTCCAGAGTTTGGACACAGCAACAAGGGGACACAGTTGGAAGCTAAAGACACAGATGAATCACAGGGATGTTAGGAAGTATTTCTTCAGCCACAGAGTAGTCAGTAAGTGGAATAGTTTGGGAAGCGATGTAGTGGAGGCAGGATCCATACATAGCTTTAAGCAGAGGTATGATAAAGCTCACGGCTCGGGGAGAGTGACCTAGTAGCGATCAGTGAAGAGGCGGGGCCAGGAGCTCGGACTCGACCCCCGCAACCTCAACTAGGTGAGTACAACTAGGTGAGTACACACACACACACACACACACACACACACACACACACACACACACACACACACACACACACACACACACACAAACTCATACACACACACACACACACACACACACACACACACACACACTCATACAGTAGCTAAAGCGTTTAAAGAACGCATTATCTGCAGGCATACCACCCCTAAGTCCCTAGTAACAGATAATGGAGGTGAATTCTGTAATGAGATTCTTGAAAATTTGTGCACCTTGTACAAGATCTCTAAATCCACCATTGTTCCTCATCATCCTGCCAGCAATGGGTTAGCGGAAAGAACTAATAAAAAAGTACTTGATGTCTTGAGAGCCACTATCAATCCCAACAGTGAAACTTGGGATGAAGTTATACCTGATGTGCAGTGTGCTATAAATTCTGCTTACAATGTTTCTATATGTGACACTCCACATTATGCATTGTACGGTGTAGATAAACGTTTGCCTTATGAGTTGCTATATTCTAATCCGAAACCAAATTACAACCCTGATGATTTCATAGCAACTCGTACCAGCTTAGCTCAAAGTGTTTTTAGAAGAATCCGTGAAACACTTCATAAATCAACAGCAGAATTTACAAGAGTCGCAAACACTCGAGCAAAGCCATCCAAAATCAAAGTAGGTTCGAGAGTTATGCTGACTAACTTTAACAAAACGTCTGCAATGGCAAAGCTTGATCAAAAGTTTGTTGGTCCTTATCGAGTAGTTGAACATATCACTGGTAATAAGTATAAGGTTAGAGAAATTAGTACTGGTCAGTATAAAGAATCGCATTTAGATCATATGAAGTTAGTATGTGATGATAATGATGTTCCAACCCAGACTAATGTGACAGACTCTGACAATCCTCCTGATCCTGTACTCTCTTCCTCTGATACTCAGTCAGACGATCAACCTGAATGTCGTTATTCCCTACGTACACGACAGGTATTGAGAAACCCTCAAGTATCATTTGTTACTTCCAATTCAGTTTTGCCTCAAATACAGCATGAGTTAGCCAGTGCTACAGAGTTTGATCCTCCCAGAGATGACACCCATTCTGCATATGTCAATCTTACCCTAGCAGAGTTGGGGTTAAATGTAAATAACCTGTATAGATGAATAATTACAGTATCAACTTATCAGTATTCAAGAATTTTTTTTTGTGTTCACGTTCTCTCCGAATTCTGAGAGTTAACAGTCTAGATTTGAGTGCACCGAATCTGCCTTTCTCTTAAACACTCTTTCTTTGTATATATTCCTTCCTCAGAATCCGTAGATCACATGAATACAGATCAATCGATCAAATTTTTTTTTATCACTTCTATTGTGTAATCCCAACATTGAGTTTCATTCAATGAGTTGTGTTATATTATATCTTGTATTGCATTACAGTTTCAGTTACGTAAGCTTCCATTCCAATGTTCTACTTATGAATGTTATAATGTTCAATTGTTGTGTACTTTGACATTGTATAGAATCAGCCCAAGCCGTATACCTGCCATCTCTAGTTTGTATTAGTTGTATGTCGGGACGACATACGTTAGCGTCGCCGAGCTCTCAGTAGTAGTACCAGTTCCAGTAACCAGTTACCAGTAACCAGTGTACCAGTAGATGACGCACTACCAACCGTCTCTGTGTGAATCACTGTCTGTATTCATATTGTTGCTGACCACAGCAGTATTCAAACACCCCCCTCACATATGGGTACTGGGGTTAGTTAGTCTGACGAGAGTGAGCAAGGAGGCAGGTCATGGCTGTTTGGCTCTTCCATACTACCGTTCTAATTATACGTACTACCAGCCTACGTGAGTATTACTTTACCCTATCCACGTGTTCGAACCCCACATGATATTCCTTCCATCCCCCACAGGCGCTGTACGAGTTTAGCGCTTCCCCATGATAATAATATGCCCCCAATCATCCCTGCCCACTTTATACTACACTCTAATTGACGCTGGTGAAGGGCTCTTGATCTAGGGAATTGGATCTGTGCTTCAGTTCCCTGAATTCCTTCCATCCCCCACAGGCGCTATACGGGTTTAGCGCTTCCCCTTAATAATATGCCCCCAATCATCCCTGCCCACTTTATACTACACTAATTGACGCTGGTGAAGGGCTCCTGATCTAGGGAATTGGATCTGTGCTCCAGTTCCCTGAATTCCTTCCATCCCCCACAGGCGCTGTACGGGTTTAGCGCTTCCCCATGATAATAATATGCCCCCAGTCATCCCTGCCCACTTTATACTACTCTCTAATCCAGTGGTTCCCAAACTTTTTCAGCTTGTTACCCAATTTAACATGCCACATAAAGCATGTTACCCCTTTCACAAAATGTTGTTATTATCGATATATATGGCTAAACGTGAACATATACAGCCTCGCATACTCTGCTAATCCTAGCAAAACCATTGAAAACGTAAGAACCACACATACATTATATATAAAATTAATAATAGCTACAAATTCACAGTAACAGTGGGTAAATACTAACTATATACTGCACAGGGCAGTACGCATACATACCAGCTTATGTCTACCTCGGCTGATGCTCACAGATAAACTGACAGTGTGAAATAGAGGCAGCCTCAGGAAGTGAGTGACGCGTACTGGACAGGTCGATCTGGGCTACTGAGTGACTTTTGTCCTGAAGCATACTTGTCAAAATACTTTTGGGTTTCCACACACTTAGCTATATATTTCTTCTTTTCTAATACTGTATATTAGTTTTTGATGTTTATTGTTATTTGGTTTAACTTTATTACTTACTTATAATAAGTTTACTTTACAACTTTATATACTAAGACAAAGTTAACAATAATCCTCATACCGGGTACCGCATTGTTTTCTTGATTTTCAGAATTCATAACTTTTTTTCTGTCACCCCTCCATTACCCCCCAAAAATGGTTAAATTACCCACAGGGGGTAATTTACCCCCAGTTTGGGAACCACTGCTCTAATCTATCCGTACGTCATCAATGGTATTTGTGTTTGGGGATCAGTTAGTTCAATATCTTATTATGCACCCAATACCCATGGTGTGGGCTGTAGTCAAAAAATTACTGAGGTACAGTTAATATAATGGGAAATGGGGTACAAGGTTTTAGCTAAATAAGTTAACGATAATGAATTATTTACATGTTTGTAGCTTGTGTAGTGAATTACACAAGCTGTACTGATACCCCATTAAAGGACCTTATTAAAGGACCCCAATGGAAATAAGTCAACGTTATGGTTATCCTGGGTACTTTACACATGTGCTGCTATGTATGATAATCTATATAACTGTATTTGTTTATACCTGAATAAACTTACTTACTTAAATAATATCTTAAGTAATGTCTTAAATAATATGCTTAGTCTAGAATTTAGATCTATAGGTTTGTAGATGAATGGTTCAGAGAACCGACATGTTGAATTTATCAAACATGTCGGTTCTCTGAACCATTCATCTACAAACCTGTCAGACACTGCAACTTCTTGGGATCTTAATACTTGGGAATTCTTCGCTTGCCAAATTTTCTTGGGCACGACCTACTTCAACATTGAACAAATGTTACACGACCTATGACTGCTGCCACCTCTCCTGCCAACGGTTTATAAGCTCCTTCTCAGCACGTATGCCGTATTCTATTCAAGATTGATGGACTGACCACGTCGACTCAAGGTTGAGGGACTGATTACCTCATTCTCCTCCTGTTCTTCAAGATTCTCCTTTGTATGGACTGATGAAGCCACTGTGTGGCGAAACGTTTCCTCAATAAAGATACCCAAGAGTTGCACATGTGTAATTTATCAATTTAGATCTAATTAGTATGTAAGATTGACTAGCTAGCTCATAATTAATGGCTTTCTTCTGTGCCTATATTTATATCTACTGTATCTTTGTTGCATTGCTCCTCAAGAAAAACAATTCTAATCTTAATTTTAATGAGATGAGTCAAGGGACTTTGCCCCAAAGTTCAGTATCACTGTAGTGATACTGAACTTATTACTGTACATGTTTATGATCCAGTTACAGTCGTAATGATTTACTATTGATTCCAGTCACAAAAAAACGTTATAGTGTAGTCTCTGAGTGACCATTATAGGGTTATTATTAAGGTTTGTTAGGTAACACTGGACTGGAGTGGGTGGTATTATCTCAGTGAGAAGAAACACCGGCAGTAATAATGGCGCTCACCACTGCTCACTCCTCCTCACTCCTGCTGGCAACTATCAATAATGGTATGTCTACTTCACCAGCGTCACTCATAACCTCCTCACTTATAGAGTATGCGCTTCTGATGTAACTCCAAAGCATAAAATAGAATAATAAATTCTAAATATGGGAAATAGTTATAATTTGTGTCCTTGATTCTTGTGGGACAAGTGCGATATATTGTCAGTAAGTCCTTCCCTATTCTCACATGAAAACGAGCTACTTGCTCTAAAATGTAGCACATTACAACTTAAATTAGAGCTGATTTCTTTTTCAGATTAACGAATTTAAAGCTTAATACAACTGCACATAAGAATATAGTCACTTGTCTGAATTTTGGGTAGTCTGGGTAATTTACACTTACGTATGATAATTTTACTTATGTGTACTTGTACCTAAATAAATCTACTTAGGGCTGCACTGCAGCAGGCCTACTGACTCCTACTAGATAGGTCTAACTTGCCGTCACTTAATCGTGTACCTGTCCAACTTGCCTTTTAATTAAGCCACCCTAGGTTCTCACTTCAAAAGCCCAAATAAGGAGTTTGTTTATTTATTTACTTATTTATGTCCTCCCTTTTTGTTTTCCAGTGCATTTATGTCCATTCTTTAATAATGAGACTAGAATTGCGCAATATAATCAAAAAAGGAACTTTACTAAGGATATATTTAAAGTTGAAGTATAACATTAGGACTTCTATTATTTATACTTCTTGGTTTGAAAGCAAGAATTCTATTTACTTTATTGCTAACACTTATGCACTGCTGTCTTGGCTTTACATTACTGCTAACTAGAGTCCCTAATTTTTTTTTTATTCAGAGTGAGATTTGGATTATTTATTTTGTAAGTACCATAGTTATTCTTTCTTCCCAGGCTTAGATCCTTACATTTGTCTACATAAAATGGCATCTGCCACTTCTCCGACCACATCTTCAACCTACCCAAATCTTCCTGTAGTGCTCTAATTTCCACATTAGAATTTGACGGCCTGTTTTAGTGTCATCGGGAGACTTGCTTATGTAGATGTTAGATGAGGTATTTTAGGTTGGGTTATTTTGGATTTCGTTAGGCTAGCTTATGAATTTTACCATTTGTGCAAAATATTTGCCTGGAAAACCTACTAAATATTGAAGGTTTTATGGAGCAAATTATTAAGTCAGACATAGTTCGAATATTTACCATACTTTTTTTTTGGGGGGGGGGGGGGGCACTATTTTCTAACCAGAATTGTATTAATGTAAATAGCCAGGCAACATTGATTAATGAGCTTATTCCTGTAATTACATTTTGTGTGTTAATGCTATGTTTTTATGGAATAAATGCAAATTTTGATATCTAATTTTGCTCTGATTTTGACAGTTTCCTCCAAATTATTTTTTTTGTTAGTCCTGTCACTGATGAATATAATTTCTCAAGAGGAGTGAGTTCCTTGGTGCTTGTTTGATCCTATGAATCAGACCATAATAAATCCCATTCCCTTCAGCTATATGACCTCTGTGGGTTTTTTTTTTTTCCATGAATATAATAATAATGATGATAATCCTGATCTCATCATGATGCAATATTTGTATCATTGTTAGTCTGGTCATTATCATCATTTTTCCTGGGAAAGAAATCAATTAGGCTTCTATATTTTAAATAACAACCATGCTATCCATTCCATTTCCTTCAGAGGAGGTTCCTTGCTGCCAGTGAAGGGGTACTTGATCTAAGGAATGGACCTGTGTTCCCTTCCTTGGATTAAACCCGAATACTTCCCATTTCCCCAGATGCTGCATGACCCCTGTAGGTTTAGCACACTCCCATGAGTGTAATATCTATTCCATGGCAGAAAAGTTATTTGCTGTACAAATTGTTTTAAGGTAATAATAGGAAAAATATAATTTATTAAGTAGATTCTTTTTTTATTAGTGGGTTCTACATTGAATAGTTACAGTTTGGACAAATAGAAAAAAGCTTTATTTTGATGAATAACTTCAATAACATAACTCAACCCAACTTAACCTTACCTGACCTAGACCAGTAGTAAATTTCTGAGCTATTATAGGTAGGGTAATATTAGGTTATATTATATAAAAAGGGTCTTTTCTCATAGGCACCAAATATAAATATCTCCATCGCACAACACTTAATGCTGGAGAAATTGCACGCTAGAAAAAAAAAAAAAGCCTTAATGTAACTGATATTTTTAGACTTTAGAAGAATCCTTCTACTGTAAGCCATGTGTTGGAAGATGCAACTAAAATGCCAGAATCAAAGGGCTAGTAGCCCCTTTTTCTGAATTACTAAATGTATAAAGAAGTAAAACTTTTCTTTTTAATTTCCATTCTAGTGGGGACACGTGCACTTGGAACATCTGCAACTCATCTGGTGGGCGCCAAGACAAAGGCATCTTTGTCACGGCCGGGACTGAAAAATATTGTTGTGGTGGATGGGGTGCGAACACCCTTCCTCGTGTCTGGAACACAGTACCAGAAACTGATGCCGCACGACATTGCCCGTCAAGCTCTCAGGTGAATGACAGCATACCATTTTTAATACACTAGTGCACTACAGTAGCTTCTCATTTGTAGTGTTGTAATAAAGTACTGTAAATCATTGTATATATTAATTTTATTAAAAATACAGCATGTCATTAGGCACATTGTAACAGTGTTAATAAATACTTTTTAAAGCCCATATTACAGTATTAAAATACAGTATAGGTGGGCCCCATTCATACAACATATTAGGTTCCGGGCTACCGCTGTAAAGCAGAAATCACTGTAAAGTAAAGCATGGCCTTTATTTACTTAAATGCTTGATATGGTTGCACTATCATATATTTAGTGAGCAATAAAGCTAGGCTTAAAAAATGCATATACAGTACACACATTACTTACCTTAAAATATTTTCAAGCTTATAGTCTTTTGTTTTTCTTTTTGGGCTACCCTGCCTCGGTGGGATACGGCCAGTTTGTTGAAAAAAAAAAAAACTTTGAGTGGTGAATATATTTAATGTAGGTAGCCTGAATAGATGAAGAATGGGAATAATTGCAAATCGCTGTAATAGCAAAATGCTGTAAAGTGGGACCCTGCTGTACTGTACATTGATATGATAGCTAGTTAGTAATTATATGAAAAAATATTTGCAGATAAAATGAGGATATTACAGTTTAGAGGGGCATATGAGCTGTAATGTTGGCATGTGTCTGGTAAGACAATGAGAGTGAGTGATAGTGAAAAAGTTTCTTCTTTTTCGAGTCCCCTTACGTTTGGGGGAGATGGCCAGTGTGTTGAAAAATATTTTTAAGCAAATATTGGATACAGTATAAAAAGGAATGTATTGTACAGTATTTTATGGATAGGGTCTTTCTGTTTTGCTGATATTTTTCAGGTAAATTTTGAAATATGTTTGGCTTTCTGATTCAGAAATGGGTTTACACACATACCCTGTTTGTTGAGGACTGTCACAGCCAGGCATGAGATTCTTACTCAAGCATAGAGGTAATCACAGAAATGGAATCTTAGTTTTTTTTTTTTTTAGTTACCTTAATTTGTCTTTAAATGAATGTTAAACAAGATTTGACACAAGGGTTGACACCATGTTTGGCTTACTGCAAAACTCCTTGGTCCTTTCAACTACTCATCTGGTCCACCCCTTTAACTAGTCACACTCTGCAGGACCACTATATTTATCATGTTTTGTGTATTGATTCTGTAAATACTTCATAAAGTTTTTTTTAGGGCAAAAAATGTCTAATAAAAGGCTTGCTCAGCTGCATGTGTTATACATTCCTAGTTTGTCAGCTACTCGTCATTTGCTACAAATATAAATGTTTAGTATTGCACTTTAAAAATTATTTATTTAATTCAAATTGGACTGTGATTTGGATTAAATAGGAGACTCGGATAATACCATTGAGTAATGTACACGATTAAGGTTTTATTTCTTTGTAAATATGATGGGGTTACAAATTGTAAGATGGTTACAGTATTTTGACTAATTTTTTCTTATGTGTGCCTAGTGATACATCTTATTTTTTGTGAATCTCCCCAGGGGTTTAGTATCTCGCGTTGGATTGGACAAAGCTTCTGTGGACTACATTACCATGGGTACGGTCATCCATGAAGTAAAAACTTCAAATGTTGCTCGTGAAGCAGCTTTAGGGGCAGGCTTTTCTGACAAGATTCCAGCTCATACTGTCGCAATGGCCTGCATCTCCTCCAACCAGGCAATAACAACCTGTAAGTGGGGGTGGAGAGGGAGTAAGACAAAACATCTTTTGTAATAGATATTCACCACATTGCTTGTACAGTAGGGCCCCACTTATACAGCAGGTTAGGTTCCAGGCTACTGCTGGAAAGCGGAACACCATTTTTTCCACTTACAAATGCCAGACAACAAGTTTGCACTAACATATATTAAGCTAACAGTAGAACTAGACATTAAAAAACAATCAAAAGTCAAATACATGCACAGTACATTCATTACTTACCTTAAAATATTTGTAGTTTTAATGTAGGGTGAGAGGTGAGTAGTACCTATTTGTAGGAAGTCAGGTGTAGGTAGCCCTGGCTCCCCATCCCAAACTTAATATACAATATTTAAAGTAGCCTAGAGAGATAAAATTCACATACAGTACACTCATTATTTACCTTAAAATATGTGTAGTCTTAATGTAGGATGAGAGGTGAATAATATTTGTAGGAAGTCAGATGTAGGTAGCTGGTAGATGTAGCTATGTAGTCCACCTTGGCTACATAGCTACACCTACCTGCATAGCTATACGATATTTAATGCAGCCCAGAGCCATATTATTACCGTCGACATACCTTGTTCACTGAGTTTAATTGTTTCTAACAACAACCTTTAGATGCCATCATAAAAGAAGAGAGAATTAATGAGAAGAGTTCATGCCGAGAATTGTAAACAAAGCGGAATGTGTTAAGGGGAGTGACTGGGCCAAACGCAGATTCATACACATTTTCTCTGTTTGCTGGACCAGAGAAAATGTAATGTTTTCCCTCCGCCCAGCTACCACACCTCAAATTTATGTGAAATTTATTGTACTGTGAGTGTATGTATCATGTTTATATGCTATTTAACATGTTTCTTTTATAATTTTGAAGAAAATATCATAGATGGATTAATGAAAATGTCTATATTAACATAAAATAAGACATTTAATGTGCCCAAGAGTGATTATTATTATGTACAGCCTCTCTCCACTTAACGACGTAGTTCCATTCCTAAGCCCACTTCGTTAAACAAATTCATCACTAAATGAGGAGCATACTATAATGGTAGTGGGTTTGTGTCAACCATCTTTGATATTGTTTTAATGTCACCTTTGCACCATTTATAACATTTCTGGTATATTATTAAATGTTTATACAGTAGTGTACTATAAATTGAAATAAACAGAATAGAGGAAATCAGTTCTAATATAAATTTTGTAGGTGTAAATTCTGGTCAGAGAGCCCATCTTAAGTCTGAGGCGTCATACAGCCTCTCATCACTAAGTGATGAAGAGGCTGTATTAGTATTATTACTATGGCGTTAAGACTTGATTTTTAACGTGTACTTGCATGCCAGCACAGTGTGTAAGTTTATTTAGGTACAAGTACACATAAGTATAATTATTAGAATATATATAAAATACTTCCATGGGGAAGTGGAACAGAATTCTTCCTCCGTAAGCCATGTGTGTTGTAAGAGGCGACTAAAATGCCAGGAGCAAGGGGCTAGTAACTCCTTTTCCTGTATACATTACTAAATTTAAGAAAAAGAAACTTTTGTTTTTCTTTTTGGGCCACCCTGCCTTGGTGGGATAAAGGCCAGTTTGTTGAAAGAAGATGATGTATAAAATATGCAATAACTTTAAAGCCTTTGAAATTTTGGAAAGTTTCCAGACATAGTGGAGATGTGCTCACAGAGAATGTAAACAAACCGGGTGGGGTACGGTGACCGCATTAGAAAGACAGGGAGCCATATAGCGAGTTTTGGTCATAATTTGAAATGTCCGTATTAGCGGAGTGCCGTAAAGCGAAATACCGTCAAGCTGGTGCTACTGTATATATAAAATTTTTAAATTGCCAAAAATATACAAGAATACCTCCCTTTAAGGTACTTCACTATAGTGTGTTTCGCTACAGTGCTTTTCAGTTATGTACATATTATGTTTATTATTGGTGCTTGCTTTTCTATTAAGATAGTGTGTGGCAGTGACGTGCACATCAGCTGACTCCGAACTGAATCGAGCATCATTTTTTTTTAGGTCTAGCGCTATTGCACACTTAATAAATGATTGCGTTCTTTGGAACCTAACCAAAGTATTGGCAAGGTATGCCTGTATTGATACTGAAACATTTGCTTTGTAGTATTAGATTAGCCATCAATACCGCATATTGCTTGTTTTTAATCCATTCGTGTCATATTTATGTATATGTAATTGATGCCAGTGTCACTCATGTAGATCTATGTTTTAAGCTCAGCTCCCTCAGATAAGCTGTGGGCTGAAAATTTTAGCCTAGAAATGAGAGAATGAGTCTGGTGAGTGTAGTCTAAAAAAAAAAAAAAAAAAAAATCCTGCCCCATGTGGTACATAATGGGAAATGGAAACCTCTGAATTTTTGAGGTGTTTTCTGGTATGGTTTTCATGGTCTATATTGACTGTTTCTTGGTATTGATAGAACTGAAGACATAATAGTGAATTAAGGGCTCTGGTGGCCTGGTGGTTAACGCTCTCGCTTCATACGGCGAGGGCCTGGGTTCGATTCCCAGCCAGAGTAGAAACATTGGGTGTGTTTCTTTCCACCTGTTGTCTATGTTCCCCATCAGTAAAATGGGTACCTGGGTGTTAGTCGACTGGTGTGGGTCGCATCCTGGGACACTGACCTAATTTGCCCGACATGCGGAGCATACCAAGGGGCTTTCTATGTAGTAGTACGTCATTGTTGTCAGCTAGGCCTGTATACCATGTACATGTACTTGTAGTAAATAAAGATATTATTATATTATTATTATTAGAGATAATTTTGGTTGATTTCAGGACCAAAAATACAGTAACTTCAAATAAGGCTCAAAGTGTCAGAATTATTAAATTTTTGGCAATTTTCCTGAGGATTGGTAGAGCCCCTTTGCTTTTCCCCAGTTTATTTTATGGGTTTTTACTAGGTCTACTTCAATTATTGAGATGGCCTAATCCATGGCCAATCATTCTTGATTATATTTTATCTAAGAAAGTGAGTAAAACTTCAGTATTTTGTGTGATGTATTCAAAATGTTGGGCAGTTCTATAGGAGAGACTTGGGGATGGGATTAATGAATAAAGGAAAGGTTGTTTTAGTAACTGGAATGCTTAGTGTTTATTTCTAAACTGGAATTTTTTATATTTGTGTAAAATTGGCTAAATTATAGGGTAGTTCTGATAGTTGAATATATGGCTTCTTGTGCTCATTCAATAAAACTAAAGAAATGCTAGCAAAGTAGATAGGAATTGGGTCTAAATGAGCATTAAAATAGGTATTGTCAGTGGTATCGTCAGTGAAAGTGACAATACCAATATTGCACCTAGACAACCTTTAACTTTGCACCTGCATAAATCCCTAAGTTTTCTACCAGAATTTGTGTTTTTTAGTGTCAGTATCTTTAGAAAAGGATGTCATTGAAGAGGATAATTTTTTTAAGATGCACTTGAAGTATGTACAGTGGTCCCTCGCTTTTCGTAGTTCTCGGCAATCGTAAATTTCGCCAATCATAGGGGTATTTTCATATAAACATGGACTCGCTTTTCATAGGTTGACTCGCGAATAGTAGTTCGTCCAGGACGCTTACGCACGGTGTGAACAGGGGAGGCCTCTCTACCCAGCCAGTCTGGCATTGTTTACCAGTGAGTGAAGGTCCCCTCAAGTGCTCCTACGAAATATTTCATAATATTCCACTCATTTTAGTGCTTGCAAGTACTAAATAAGCTACCATGGCTCCAAAGAAAGCTCCTAGTGCCAAGCCTGTGGTAAAGAAGGTGAGAAATATGTACAGTGACAAAAGTCTTGTACGATTTTAGGGAAGTGTTAAAGAGATGCCAGAAACAGAGCTCTCTCCACAGTTACTTTGCGAGACAGGACTAGAGTGACTTCAAGGTGGTCCTAGTGGCATTAAGAAAAGAGAAGAGAAGCAACCCCAGAGAAGCAATTGGTAAACCCGAGGTGTTGCTGGAAGGGGATTCCCATCCAAACTGTAAACAATCCCAAACTCTCTCCTCCTCCAGTCCCCCCATACACTAAGAAGAATCTCCAATAAAGGTAAGTGTTATGCTGTTAATGTTTCATTCATCATTTCCCATTGTATTGTTTATGTACTACATGTATATTTCATGTAAAAATTTTTTTTGTTTTAATACTTCTGAGTGTCAGAAACGGATTAATTGTATTTACATTATTTCTTATGGGGAAAATTGATTCGCAAATCGTAAATTTCGTTTACAGTAGCTCCTCCAGGAACGGATTAATTACAAAAAACGAGGGACCACTGTACTGTATATTGATTGCTATCATAATGATTGCTACTTTTGCTGTGTTTCTCACACTTCATTGCAGGCACTACTATTTCTTTACTAAAGTTAATAATATTTTTAATTGGTCTTAAAATATTCTTTGGAAAGCTACATTAGTTAGTTCATAATTTCACAGAAGTGAATGGAGACAAATGGTATTTGGGACCTGACGATCTGTTGAAGTGTGTGGAAATGGGAAGTACAATGCCTGCACTCTTAAAGGAGGGGTTTGGGATATTGGCGGTTTGGAGACATATACGTATTGTGTATTTTTATACGTATATACTACTTCTAAACTGTTGTATTCTGGGCACCTCTGCAAAAACAGTGATTATGTGTGAGTGAGGTGAAGGTGTTGAATGATGATGAAAGTATTTTCTTTTTTGGGGATTTTCTTTCTCTTTGGATCACCCTGCCTCGGTGGGAGACGGCCGACTTGTTGAAAACACACACACACACACACGCACACACGCACACACGCACACGCACACATGCACACGCACACGCGCGCACGCACACACACAGGAATAAGGAATCGTTCAGGACCCTGTACACCGTGTATGTTAGGCCCATATTGGAGTATGCGGCACCAGTTTGGAACCCACACCTAGCCAAGCATGTAAAGAAACTAGAGAAAGTGCAAAGGTTTGCAACAAGACTAGTCCCAGAGTTAAGAGGTATGTCCTATGAGGAGAGGTTAAGGGAAATCAACCTGATGACACTGGAGGACAGGAGAGATAGGGGGGACA